GTTGTTGCGATAAAAACGCGCACGAATCAGCAAAAGAAAAAGGGAGGAAGCCACCCGAGATAAAATTAAATCAATTCGCAAGGACCATGCTGGAAAATTCATTAAAAATGCTGAAGCAAGACCGTTCTATTTGAGGTGGTTCTTTTCTACTTTGTGTAATTTGGCAGGGCCATTTTATCAGATAAACCGGAGAGTGATGGAACTGTATCACTGGACTTTAGGTATTGGAATATTGTTAGCACAGGCGGCTAAATACGTAAATACTCTTACTAAAATTAAAATTCCCCCTAGACTAAGAATGTATAAATAGATGAGGTTTCAAGTTGGTGGGGCATATACGAGTATTAGCCTGCCATGATGTGCGGAATATTGAGGTAGAACCTTCGTCACGCTTTCCATTGCCCATGCAAAACATGTGCGCATTAATAAGGAATGTGCGCTAGGCCTCACATCTCTTTTCGTCACGTACGTCTCCAGTGTTTTCTTGGAGCAATTAGGCCCGTGCCGAAATACCCGAATATGCTTTCTTCTACGGCACTAATTAGGCATATGTAAGCGCGTTCTGACGGTCAGCACTTAGTCCGGGCTAATGGAGGTCCATAAAGGTGGCCAGGAGCCAAATGGGGACCTTTAAAAGAAACATTCGGTTTGCTACCTGAATTTCATTCTATTTAAGTTTACAACCACATTGATACCACGGAATACATCTTTAAGGTACAGGCTTATCACCATACCGACTAGAAACTAACCCAAACATGGGGACGTCAAATGGATAATATAGAACAAGTGGCCGAGCACATAAAGGACACTGAATTTGCAGATACGTGTATCGGGATGCCACGGATCCCTCGTCAAGTACAAATTAAAGATGCATCATTTGCAGGCCATCTGATAGAGGAACTGGATGATCGAACGGGTCGGACGGCCAGTCATGCAATCCTTGAGCAAATACGGAGGAACTCCGTGCTTGGCCAGCATTCCGGTGCCGTGGGTATCCAGGTGCACCCAGTCGGAGCAGGGAACCAGTTCGTAAAGGATAGCAGCCGCCAAACAGGAAGATGCGTGTCCCTCTCCCGTGTTGCATATATCGTAGGACGCACGGGGCGCCACCAGTTTGCTGAAGTACCTCCACAGGGGCATGCGCCACAGTCGATCGCCGGTGAGAGCACCGGCCTTTTGGAAATTCTTCCAGAGGAAGGAGTTATTGGTCCACAAGCCGGTGGCCGAGGCTCCCAGTCCTTTGCGTATGCCACTGGCCATCGAGCCCACCTCCACCACCAGCTTGGGCTTGAAAGTCGACTGGGCATAGAGCAGGGGATCAGCCAGCAGCACTGTGCCGGCCAGTGAGATATCCTTGATGCGCATAGTCTTGCCGTTCAGTAGTGTGACCACATCGCCCGGCTTGGTGGCCATTCCCGATGGCATATTCTCACACAGCGGCAACACGGCGGATACGTTGATAGGCAGCGACAGAGCAGCTGCGGCTCGAATGGCCGCCACGCATACTGCGGCTCCGGAAACTGCTCCGCGGTACTCATCCATTCCCCTCTTGGGATGCAGACACAGGCCGCCGCTGTTGAAGGTCAGGCCCTTGCCGAGCATGAGAATGGGTCGCTCCTCCGGCGAGGTGCCGCAATAGCTGACCTCCAGGATAATGGGTGGCTCGCACGAGCCCTTCGCCACCATGAGAAAGGAGTTGAGGTTCTGCATCTCGATCCAATCCATCGATCGCACCTCGACTGAAACGCCACAGGGACACAATGCATCCACGGTGGCCTGGGCGAATATAGAGGGCGTCATCTGGTTGGCTGGTGTGTCCGCCAAACGGCGGGCCAAATTCTGGGATTCGGCCTTGAACAGCCCCCTTGTCCAGGCATCCTGGTCTGTGGATCCGTACAGCTCAAGTTTCGGTATGGCAATGCGGTTCTTCTTGCGCTTGTTCACATTGTAACGCCACACGGCCATGGCGGCGCCTTCGGCAGCCTGTTCCGGATACTCCATGCCATCCACATGGCAGGTGGTGCAGCCCTGCAGCTGAAGAGCTCGGGCACCCACGGCAGCGCACACCCTCACATTCTCCATGCCTTCATCGATGACTTCCTCCGCATTGAAGCCAGCCCCTTCCTTGCCCAGGCCCACAACCGCCACGGCCCAGTACTCCTTATCGATGTTCTGGTACAGTCGACCCACTCCAAGCTCCCCATTGAGTCCAGATTCCTTGATTAGTTCCGTGATCTTGCCGCCGACACGGTCGTCGAACTTCTCGCCTCCCGGGGACAACTTGAGGCCTTTATCACCATCCTTGGCATACAGGCCAACCACCACACCCTGCAAGTTGCAGGTGTTGCAGCTGCCATCCTCACTCTTGCATCTCACCTGTGGGCATTTCCAGAGCATATAAATATAATATAATACATAAATGTATGTTGCATGTTTCTCACCTGCTGAATAGCTGGAACTCTGGCAAAAATGAGCGCCTTGTGGCACCTGAATAAGCCCAGTGTAGAACGACGCAGGCTGGAGATCATCTGCGATCGAGTCATTTTGCGTAGCAATTTGGGTAAACTTTGCTAAAGATTTTCACTGATTACAGACTAGTTTCCGAATACTATACAACAATTTAGAAAAGCGACCGAGTGGGAAACACTAACCAAAATGACAGCTAAACACTGAAATGAAAAATACAAAAATTGTGTTTATTATTTAAAAAAAAAAACAGTGTTAGCTTCGTTGAGCTGGAATCGAGAAACTGAACTGATCCGATATGCTAAACCACTGACATATTGTCAATTTTAGTAGAAGTTTACTGGGATCACAATTATTTGCTTGATAGAAAAACGAGAACTCTTAACCGAATGGTAAAATACTTTTCAACTGTCAGCGGTGGGTTATTTATTTATTAACCCACGAATAACCTGGCGCACTTGAAACTTTATGTGATGATTAAATTTGCAATTATCGGCAACAACAAGTGCATTTCTGCAGGCGACATAATGAAAAAGCGAATTGCAGCAGGGGTAAATATATAAAAATTGCAACCAAGCCGCAGACGAAACACGTAAAAGCAATAAAGCAATAAATTGCCCAATTTGAAGCACTATTGTAGCCAATAATTTGCACAGCCACTTGGCCGCTTTTCTGGTGCAGGACCCCTTCCGCCAGCACCCGTCCACCGCCCACCGCCCAATGACCACCGCCCACCGCCCACCACCCACCGCATATAATTTTCAACAAAAATATTCACATTTGTCAATGTCGCGTGATTGATGTGGTCGACGCATTTCCGCCGAGTCGAGCGGGCCAACCAACGTGCTGATGGGGCCAAATAAAAAACAGTCAACACACAGTCACAGACGCAGAAATACACTGAATCAAAAATGGAGATGGCATATCGCTTTTGATTTCAAGAACTCCCATTTAGTAGTGAAATCTTATTTCCGACCCCAACTCTCGTGATTTAAAAGAACGAACCAATTCAGTTTTTAAATATCTATTTGGAAGCCTTGAAAGTATATCACTGTGCGAGCTTCTCCATATAGCATACACATAGAAAATGATCCCATCAATATTATGTTACTTAGTTATAGGACAATAATTAATTTCGCTCAGTGCTGGCACAGTCACACACATGAGTACACTGCCAAGTAGGCGGCGCATAAAAACAAGCAAAAACATTCATTTTTTGTATACAAATGAGCGCGCAAGAAGGATGTTGAGGCGAGGGACGTGGCCATTGCCATGGTTATACGTACATATGTGCGACTTTATGTAGCCATGGCCATGGCGGTGAATCTGGATACGGATTGTGGATGTGGCCAAGGGTATGGGCGTGTTGGCGACATTACGCGATTTCACGCATGATTTCAAATTAATGACAGCCGAGCGCGCACTGTACACCTTTAAGCCAGATGCGAGGGTAGCGAAATTTAAAATGTCCACCCGCACAGGATGTTTAATTTCCTAAATGCATAAATCTCACTAATACGCACAACAAACGCCAAATCCAAATCCAAATCTAATGCGGTTAACGCTTTTTGCCGTGTGCGTGCGGCATCCGAAAATCATAAACAAACTTCAAAAGAGGACAATGGCCAAAAAGACGGGGCCCAAAAGCGTTTTGCAGCTTATTACGCACGGTAGCCAGTTAACTGGTTAAACTGGCAACCCGGCAACCCGGCAACCGCAGCAATTCAACTCTGCAGGACCTGATGGCCCCATGGGTGGTGCGATTCGTTACGAATGGAGGCCTCTAGTCGACTTTTGGGCTCTCCCCAAAAAACATACGTAACGTGTTCGTTGCCATTGCCATTGCCATTTCCGTTTTTTTGTCCTCAATAGCAGCAAATGCCCCGCAAAACACACGTAACTTGGCCGGCCTCGTCCTGGGCGGAAGATCCTTTTACAATCTAACACACACCTTCGGCTCGGTTATTTGTTTGCTTTTGCCACAGAATATTGCCAATTGTTGCAGCACTGATACTGATGCAAATTTATTGCCTGCCTTCTGCCTTTTGTGCGGCTTTTCAGATTAAAAGAGATTCGAAAACTGATTTGGGATTTTAACATAAATTCTTAAGAACTAGGTTCCAGTAGAAAGTACATAGGAAAGTTGAAGAATTCAGCAAACACGGAATGTACTTCATCATGAGGATCGAAATTGCAACTGTGAGAAGTCTTAGTTTCTAAGAAACAACACGTCCTTATCAGTTCTTTCGGAAGATCATTGGGTTTTTTTAATGATCCGTTCTCAGCGCCAGCCAGATTATAAGGAATACAGGTTCTAGGAATTGTATACCCTTGCAAAGGGCTTAAGGTTATCAGCATGAAACTTAATAAAAGCCTTTCTCCTACTGAAGGTAGTGTATAAGTCGGAAACGTCCGATTCGCACAGTTTTAGTTCCCGAGATCAGAGCGTTCATACATTTGTTCCGATCTTCTTCTAGTGTTAATTATATTTTGTTGTCGAGTTAAGTAGAAGTTTATTTCGGTTGCTTGCGTGTTTATAAAAATCTATTCGTTTTTACGGTTCGATGGATCCAATTTGAGTAGCTCAAGATATTCGTAAATACGGAAACACCTTGGAAGGGGTGACGTAGATGGCTAACAATTCCAAATTGATAGAATCGCTTGAGATGATCGCGTTCCAACATGCTTCCCAGCGGACCTCCAGAATCGCCTACGCCCACATAATGTTTACTTTCTCCAGCACAAATGTGGGTTAGATCAACATTATATCCATACAAGACGTGACAGGAGATCCGATCGACTTGTGGTATAAATGTATGCTGCAGCTTTTCGCTTACATTGACTGTATTGGTGGCACCCCAGCCAAATATAGTGAAATATTTAATGGTGTCCACATATCCCTGCCAGTGCGGATCCAGCATCAAGCAAATCGGCCGTATGCTATCTGACATAATCATATTGTTAGGTATTATTCATACCGCTAAAGCTTTGTCAATTAATTTACCACTGTATTCAACATATCGGCTAAGTTTCACCAGAGCAATATCGTGGTGGTGGGCAGTTCTGTATAAAGGGTAGATAAACTGTTGCTGAATCAAATATTCAGAGTATGGGCTTGCACACTCGAGCTTATTGCAATCTATAAACTGGCTCGCATCGCTCTCTCCCAATCGAACCAATCTGTAATAATATTAATAAGCATATAGGTATTGTGCATTTAATTTACCGTACTAAATTATTACTTACATCATACTCACATACTCTTCCGCATTATAAAAGCAATGGGCAGCTGTCAGCACAAACACTAAAAAAAGCGTGAATAGCTCATAAAATCGATGGAGTCGAAAACCTACCTCCAGTTAAATAATTCATATATTTGGTACTTACAACGGTTAAGAAGCGTGCCACCACAAATGAATTTGGAGTTTAAATGAAAATAGGCCATCCATGGGGCGAGCAGCGGGGCAGTATTTCTGCCGCCACTTATGCGGTAGGAATATTTCGGAGCGCCGCAGTCGCGTTCCAGAAGATACGAATATCCTATAGATATTCTGTGTACCAGGATCAGACAAGCAAGCAGAACACAAATAAGTGTTTGCTTCATCTTGAAGCTACCGAATGAAACTGACCAATGATTAAAGTGCAGTAAATAATATTCTGCAGTAATAACGATTTACTTATCAGGAATATACGAGTACCTATGAGTAAGCTCTTTGTTGTGAGTCAAAGGTTTAACTGAAAGTTCATTTGCTGTCGTAGTGACATTCACTTACGCACTTATAGCTGGAATTATCTTTTATATCTATAAATAGAGTGCTCAGATATGTTTATGCAATAACTTATTGTTTAATATGTAGGAATGGTTCTTATACAAAGCAGTGCAAACATAAATTTAAGCAATTAATTATTATCTACATTAGCCTTCGCTTTAATAAATTGTGTGGCCACGCAAATGTTTTGTGGCTTGCTTGAATGAAGTCTGGTTTTCTTCGGTTCGAGGTGGTGGGTGGATAGGCATAGCATTCTCAGAGGGCTCGTAAATTTGCCGAATGCATAAATCACGCAATTGAATTCTAATTTTTCGACTTCTGCAGTCAACAGAACAATGTACGAGTATTCGGCTTGTGTTGTCTGGGACTGGGACTGGGATAGGAAATGCATTCCGAGCCTGAATCAATCATTATTTTTAATGCACAAATGGGAGCAATTACAGTCAGTTTGGGCCAGACAAAAGAATGTCTCACTTGATTTATCGAGGTTTGGCCAATGTTTGTTGGCCATGCATCTTGTTTATCATGTGCGAAGTCGCTGCTTTGAATACTGGCTACAGATGGTGGTTTGTGTTTGTTTCTGTTATTCCCAGTAAGAGTGAAAGCAAAAGTGTGCAGTGAGGAAAATAATGATAATAATGATTCATTAATTTATATTCGCGCAATATATTTCATTCAAGATGAAGAAACGATGTAGAAAAGAAAGCCATCTAGTTTTATGAGATGTGATATTACAAAATACAAAAAAATATGAAATGTTCGGAGAGATTTTTCGGCTGTGTAAAAGTTTTTTGCGGTCCAAATAGTTGATGAGACTGGTTGACAATTAGCACCTGGCACACCCCCGCCGCCAAAGACAGTGGTAAATATTGTACCCTCAAAAGTATAAAAGGCTTGGCGCTACCAAAACTCTAAGAGTCTCATAATGGCTTTCTCCACCTCCGTATCGGTAATGCTTTTGATCTCAGCAATTAGCTGCTGGAGCACAGCCGTTGGCGGCCTGCGAGAAGATCTCAAGGATTTCGTAGCCTTGGTTCCCCGTCGCAGAATTGGTTTTATTGCCGCCAGATACTACATCTTCGATCCCAAGTTTCGCCAGGCGGTGGAGTTTGTGCGCAGCGATGAGTTCATAACCACCTGGCAGCAAGTGCGTGCCGCTCCAGATTTTGTGAATATTATTAACTATGTGACTGATTACGGCTCGGGCTACGATATAACCACACTGGTGGACAGTTTGCCAACTCGATTGCGGGCCTATCAGCTGGCGCGCACTGTACCCGTGGAACTGATGCTGCGACGCGATTTGACCACCTTCCTCTGGGACGTTCTACAAACTTTGCCCAGGACCAGAATCTATTCCTTGATGGCACAGAAATCGCGGCAGAGCGCTGAATTCGCCAAGCTCTACACAGCTTTGAGGGCTAAGGAGTTTAAGGAGCTGGTGCAGCGGGCCAGAGTAAGGTTTCAAATGGTTCCCAGTCGAATTTTGAATAACGCTCCTCTTTATCTTAGCATTCCAGACAACTGCAGGCCCCCATTAAGAAATTGAGTCAGAAGAGCATCAACGTGGATGAAATACTTAAAATCGTGTTTGAGGTAATCAGTTGGGGTCCCCAGACATCCTAGACTCTATAAATTCATGTCATATCAGTTTGAACAACACATTGTTCAATGTTAATAAAAATATCATTATTTATTTTATATATTAGTTCTCACTTATCTCACAGAACCTGCGGACAAAATTAAAATTTTTTTGATGTGATGATGTTGTAGAAAATCAAGAAAATTAAGATATGTCCCAAGGCTGAAGTTCTAAACTCCATAACTCAACTTATCCTAATCGGATTTTGAAGTGACATACCTCTAAATGTTTCTAGCGGAATTCTCTAAAAATCTGCATTTAAATTTAGAAAATAAATTTTTAAAAAATTTTTTGGCATTTTTTTGTTGCTATGATGTTGTAGAAGTTCAAAAAGTTTAACAATGTCCCAAGGCTGAAGTTCTAAACTCCATAACTCAACTTATCTTAATCGGATTTTGATGTGGCATACCTCTAAATGTTTCTGGCGCGATTCTCTAATAATCTGCATTTAAATTTAGAAAATAAATTTTTAAAAAAATTTGTTGAATTTTTTGTTGCTATGATGTTGTAGAAGTTCAAAAAGTTGAACAATGTCCCAAGGCTGAAGTTCTAAACTCCATAACTCAACTTATCTTAATCGGATTTTGAAGTGGCATACCTCTAAATGTTTCTGGAGCAATTCTCTAAAAATCTGCATTTAAATTTAGAAAATAAATTTTTAACAAATTTTTTGGAATTTTTTTGTTATGATGTTGTAGAAATCCAAAAAAATTAAGAAATGTCCAAAGGCTGAAGTTCTAAACTCCATAACTCAACTTATCTTAATTGGATTTTGAAGTGGCATACCTCTAAATGTTTCTGGCGCGATTCTCTAATAATCTGCATTTAAATTTAGAAAATAAATTTTTAAAAAAATTTTTTGAATTTTTTTGTTGCTATGATGTTGTAGAAGTTCAAAAAGTTGAACAATGTCCCAAGGCTGAAGTTCTAAACTCCATAACTCAACTTATCTTAATCGGATTTTGAAGTGGCATACCTCTAAATGTTTCTGGAGCAATTCTCTAAAAATCTGCATTTAAATTTAGAAAATAAATTAAAAAAAAAATTTTTGAAATTTTTTTGTTGCTATGATGTTGTAGAAGTTCAAAAAGTTGAACAATGTCCCAAGGCCGAAGTTCTAAACTCCATAACTCAACTTATCTTAATCGGATTTTGAAGTGGCATACCTCTAAATGTTTCTGGCGCGATTCTCTAATAATCTGCATTTAAATTTAGAAAATAAATTTTTAAAAAAATTTTTTGAATTTTTTTGTTGCTATGATGTTGTAGAAGTTCAAAAAGTTGAACAATGTCCCAAGGCTGAAGTTCTAAACTCCATAACTCAACTTATCTTAATCGGATTTTGAAGTGGGATACCTCTAAATGTTTCTGGAGCAATTCTTTAATAATCTGCATTTAAATTTAGAAAATAAATTTTAAAAAAAATTTTTGAAATTTTTTTGTTGCTATGATGTTGTAGAAGTTCAAAAAGTTGAACAATGTCCCAAGGCCGAAGTTCTAAACTCCATAATTCAACTTATCTTAATCGGATTTTGAAGTGGCATACCTCTAAATGTTTCTGGAGCAATTCTCTAAAAATCTGCATTTAAATTTAGAAAATAAATTTTTAAAAAATTTTTTGGAATTTTTTTGTTATGATGTAGAAATCCAAAAAAATTAAGAAATGTCCAATGGATGAAGTTCTAAACTCCATACTTGTCTTAATCGGATTTCGAAGTGGCATACCTCTAAATGTTTCTGGAGCAATTCTCTAAAAATCTGCATTTAAATTTAGAAGTCCATTTTTAAAATTTTTGTTTGTAATTTGTTTGATGTAATGATATGCTACTACTATATGCATAATACGTATGTATTTTTATATTATTCCTCGCAATTTTATCTTGTACTCAATGCTTCGTTGCTTATCATTGCGTAAATAAACAATCGCAAAAGCATCATATAGACATGACCTTTGACTCTAAGCTGCAATCTTTTCACCTGATGTGCAGGCAGTACAATGTGGAAAATCAGCAAAAGGGAAAATCCTTGCCGTCATATGCGTGTGTGCCAACGCACAATATGCCATCATTAGTGCAACAGGAATCCAGGTCGTTTCACGATGACAAGAATCTGGGGAACGGGCCAATGCATATTGCAATGCATCGCAATTTGCAGAGAATGCCTCATTGATTCGGCTTTTGGGCCCAGTTATGGAGCGATATCGGATGGCTAAAAGTCCCACTGACAAGTTGGTGATAAATTTTAGCAGACTTTGACGACTTTATGCTGTCGTGCTTGGTGCATAATTTGTCGACATCGACATAGTTTTTATGGCTGGCAGTTGCAAGTTTATTTGCCACAAAATGCGGCCATATAAGCGTTGCCAAGTTTATTTCGAATGAACCAAATTGCGCCCGCCATCGCAGTTGCTGTTGTTGCAGTTGATGTTGCAGCAATTGCTGCTGAATATGCAACAAAAGTTGTTGCACTTGCAACGCCCCCAACGCACACACACACACACATGGCCAGCTGCAAAGCCAAGCCAAGCGAAGCGACGCCAAGCCGATCCAGCCCGGCCCACATCATTTTGCAGCAGTTTTTGGCTGACAGAGATGCAGAGGCGGCAAATGGGAACGAATGCGATGCCTCAGCTGGCATTTGGCCCCCTGCGGCTCCTTCTGCTCCTTTAGCTCCTACTTCCGCTGCTCCTGCTGCTGCTCCTCCTCCTGGTCCTCCTGCTGCTTTTGCTGTTTCCCCATTTTGCTTGACATTAATTTTATGCCATGTTGCTGGCGTGCCAGCGGTCCAAAACGCGCTTAAATTGTCGCATTTGTCTTGCCGTTTTAAGTTGGCTGTTGCTGCTGCTGCTCTTGCTGCATTGCATAAACTTTTGTGTAATCCTTTCAATTTGTTGCATACTTTTAGGCGGAAATTAAAATAACAAGCGCTACGTGGCGGCAGCTACACGGCCAAAAAATGTACGTGGCTTTCTCATTTCCATTTTGAATTGTAAGTTTTATTTCATCATTAGCATTTCTTTTAAGAATATGGGTTTTTTAAGAGAAACCGCTTTCACAAGTGATAAGTACAATGTGATTAGGCATTGTGTACATCTGTAATGAAATATTAATAATCTCTACTCTGCTGAGTAAGTGAAATCTGAAAGTGAAAGATACATTGAAATCCCGACCTAAATATTTTCTCCCTACTTGCTTTTCCCCACAACTGCGCTCAGTGTATTGACTTGGTTAGTTACTGCCTTGGCATTTGTTGGGAAACTAGTTCTACACGTGTTATACAGTGCACTCTAGTATATCAATTAGTAACCTAGACAATGTTGCCCCACTTCTGCTGCTGGGCTGCCCTGCCTCTTGGAGTCCCTCCGACTTGCAGCCCTTAGACATGCTCCTCAAAATGCATTCATACATCTGGAATTTATGCTGCGAATTTAGGAAATGAATTTTGCAAAATAGTTAAATTGAATTTTATGGTACGAGGCCCTTGTTATGCCAACTCCATGCTGCTGCTGCTGCTGCTGTTGTTGTCATTCGGCATCAAGTAAAAGTAAATAATTGCTGCTTAAAATGCTCGTCAGGAGTACTGCTCGCTGCTGCCTCATTCGTATTTTGTTTTCATGCTTGGCCAACAGCCCTTTGGCCCTTTTTTCGGCTGGCCAGAATTTTGAGTGGCAGTGGCAGCAGCAGCAGCAGGAGTAGTCGATTTGTTTTTATGCTCCTTGGGCGGCAGACTCGTTACCGCCTTAACTGCAATATCAGTTACAGGAGTCAGTGCTGCCGTTCTCTATTTCAAAGCATCCTTATGACCCCCACAAAAACTCCCCACCCATCCCCATCCGCTCAGCCGCCCATCCGCCCATCCGCCCATAGCCCGATTCCATCCTGTTCACTGGCTGCCGGTTATATTTCGACCAGATTGTCTGTATTTGCGGTTTGTGCGTACGTGACATGGATGTTCGCTCGACTGGGATGCCTGCTTGCTTAACAATTAGTTTTAAAATGCTGCAGGACATATCCAGTTCTTGTACTCCAACTCGTCCTGGTACTCATTAGAGCTGGGGGTTACATCCACTCCCTGCAGAGCTCGCGGCGTAATCCTTCGGCCAAATCTCTCCCCCCTCCCTGTAAAAGTGCACGAAAAAACAGCCAGCAAAATTGGCAAAAAAAGGGCAGAATAAAAATCAACAACAACAATCAATGTTGTCCCGTAATCAATTAACGATTTAACGTTCGTCTAGGGCTGGTCAACTGGTCACTCTGCGCCGTCAGCATTTGGCGCCCCGTCACCCAGCCGCCCTCTTATCCGCCGATGACCCCCCCGCCCCCCTGGATGGGTTTTGTTTGCGTATGTGTTTGGGGTCGAAGGTCGGGGGTCATGTGGACAGGGGCTGCATGGACACGTCATCGTGGCTGCGTTTTGGGGGAAACTCGCGCTTGTCTTTGTGTATGCAACTGCACTGGGATAAACTCCCTTTTATCTCCCTTTTTAAATACTCCCTTATCACCCTTATCAATATTTTAATTATATAAAAATACATAACGACTGCAAGGTCATAAAAGCTTTGTCTTGACCAAGCTAGTTTCTTTTTCTTTTGTTTTATGGCTCAACCTATGTTAAAAACAAATATATATGATAAAAAGTTAATGGCATTCCCAAAGTTATTGCTTTTATCTATATTTACTGTATCTTAAATCGCATTTTTCTCAGTGTGTAAGCTGAGCGCTGTGACAGGGCTGTCATCTCGCTGGAAGATCCTCTTAACTCGTCCACCCACGGAATTGGGCGCAGTGAAGCCAACCCCAAGCGAAATTCGATAATCTGCAAATGGCAATCTCATTCTTGATTGCCAGCGTACCGTACCACTTGCATTTGAAACAATTATTGAGTGGCGTTGGCAACCCTACGCCAGCCTGCAAAAGTATTTGTTGGGGGCTAATGTGATTACTCCTGTCATTATTTCGTCGCTACATCCGTCTCTTCAATGGAT